TCCGCTCGTCACCTGCGGCTCAAACAGAAGCTCGTTATTTATGTTCATCACAGAAGTAGAACTTTTTTCTGTGTTGTTTTTTTAAAAGGGAAAGTTAGCAACTGAATAAAAACCCGGTACATGTAAACACTCGTCATGATCAGACTGTGCGCATGTAAATGATACATTCCCATTATTTAACCCAAATACATTTCAATCCGATCAAAGAATTTTGCGCATGTAAACATAGCCAGTGATGTGTGTCCCAACGCAGCTGGTTTTGTTACCGTTTCTTTAAGACGCTTCAAGCACCGCMCCCCCTCCAGCTTCCAGACCGGTCCACTCCGGTTTGAGAATGGGGGCTAGCATTTTCTAGCTTACAACTAAAAGATGTCAACAGGAGACTTGTCCATCCAGCCTTACATGTTGGAACCATATAAATAAACTGGACTGAAGCCTGAAATTGTTTGACAAGTGCCTAAAAATCAACAGGAAGAAGAAGAAAAAGAGGTGGAAATAGAATGAAGTTTGGCAGCGATGGAGAGAATAAGTCTTTGGAGATTAATGTGTTTGGTTTTTATAGTTGGGGTTTAGTTCAGTGTTTAGTGAGCTTGGAACAAAAAAACAAAGACATTTCTGAACATGGAGCTGCAGCTGATTGAAACAGAGGATGGTGCCACAGACACGGTTGGACCAATCAGAGAGGAGAGAGGCTCAAAGGCAGAGATGGAGAGAAAAAAAACAGCTTGAAACAGATTGAGGACTTTTCTGAAGAAGTAGGTGAGCAATTATTTGTTTTAAAAGAAGAAATTCCCACAGGATCTGATTTTTCCCAACGCTAGTTCTGAAATAGTCAGATAATTCCTGTTTGCCCTCTAAGATGATCAGKTAGAGAGAAACTACAACAAGGTGAAGATTTTGTACAATAATATTCCTGACAACCTTCACTCTAACGTCACAGTTACCACAGACGTGAGAAAATAAGATTAATTTCCTCACCTGGAGTAAAAGCTCTGTGAAACTGGTAAATGTCTTCTCCTCTCAGCTCTTCGGCGATTTGACCAATCTTCTGTCGGACTGCGTCCAGTTTTCCTTCCGCCTCRTTCAGAACTTCCTCTGCGTTGGGTACGCTTTACAACCAATCAAAAAATTTTAATATTTTAGTCATAAACTTAAGACAGAATCGACAAGTTTACCTCTGATGTTACAGATAAAATGAAAGTGAAGAATTTGCCTTACTACCAAACTGGTATACACACCCACAAAAACATAAAAACCTCTCTAAGACCTGGATTTGGAAAAAAAATTCCTGTTTTTTTTCTTTTTAACCAATAATCACATTTAAAAGTTACCAGAAATCATTCTACTGAGGGCACAGTTTGAAAACAACTAAATCCTTGCATTGATGAAGATAATAATCATTTTTAAATTAGTATTACAGTCTTTATAGTTGAGAAAAATAAACCAAATTTAGAAGCAACTCAATTACAGCACATTTACATAAAATGTTTGAATGTCTGTGTCCCTCACTTGGTTACTCTGTGCAGGAGGAAAATGGTCCTCTTGCTCTCAATGGTGACGTCCCGACTGATCTTAACCAGCCTCTCGTATTTGTCGTGTTTGGCGTCGAGCTCCAGCTGGAAAACTTCCAACGACAGGGAGGACGGTTTTACTTTTTTTTTTCAAATAAAAACAATAATCACATCGGTGAAAAGTGGTGTCAAAAAGTTACCTCTGAAGGCAGCGACGACAGGTGAGGAGGGGTTGGCGCTCACATCACGCTGCAGTGCAGCATCAAGATTTTTCTTTGAGTATCCTTCACCTGAAATGAAGCAGAGAAAAGTCAGGTGACACTGAAATGCATTTGACTTCTAATAAATGTTAGAAATTATCCTTATTTATCAATTATTTACTCATTCTTAGATGTATAATTATGCATGTTTGTCTTTGCCACACACACACACACACACACACACACACACACA